GACTATTCTCTCTCCCTTCTTTGAAAATAAAATCTCATTTCAACTGATTTTAATTTTCATTTTGATTTTTTGTCTGAACTAAATAAATTATAAAATAGATCATTCTCATTCCGACTACAAACCTGTCGCAACCTAAAACCGTTAGGGTCTCGAAAAATTATGATATAGATGGCCAATATATAGACCATCTATCCATATTCGGGCTAGGCGTGGAATAGATCGAATATTGGATTCGATGTACTTAAATTCGAGTTCAATCTGATTAAAAATTTACCTATCCAAATTTGATCCGAAATCCATTTACATGTATAAGCTAGTAATTGGATTAGATACAACAAGATACATGATATGAGAATTCAATTTTCATTCGATTCAGATAAGATCTATTGGGTTTTAGATTGCGAGCCTAACCAACCAAAAGGAGGGCTAAACTTGACAAAAGCATTTATGGTTAAGATTGAATAGGAAAAATTGAGGGCTTTCTTTTCGTGGTTGTGTTTATGTTTCATATGGATCTTAAAGTTAGGATGGCAATTTGATCCATCCCATAGGTTAGGGTGGATTTGGGGAAACCTGAAACTCTAGGGGTCAGGGATAGGGTTGGGATCACTGTTTTCAAAATCGGACCGGACAGTCATACCGGAAAAATTGGAAACTGGTCATCTAGCCGGTTCCGTTTTTCTCCAAAACCGTTTTTTCCCCCAAAATTATTGATTTTGGTCAGCAAACCGCTAAATCGACTGGTTAATCGTTCGAATGGTTTTGACCGTTTTCCAATTTTTTAATTTTTTTAAATTTTTTTTTATGTTCTTATCTGAACGGCCGGCCGTTTGGGTCGAATAACCGGACCGTTTGGATCAAACGGTCAGACCGTTCGAACCAGTAACCAGACCCCTGACCGGTTCGTTTTTAAAAACCATGGTTGGGATGGTATTTGTCCACCCCACCTATATATATATATATATATAAACTATTAATACATGTTAATATATATTATATTATACTACATAATATAAAATAGTTCTAGGTAAGTTTTGAAAAAATCAAAAAATAAATAAATTTATAAATATACAAGTAGGAATGACAAGGGTGGGGGGAGAGAAATTCAGGGATCCCCGTAATGGAGAAACGGGGATGGGGTTAGGATTTGTAGCCCACCAGGGTTTTGGGCAAGGAAGGGGCAGGGCATTTGAGTTCAGGGTCAAGGACGGGGCAGGAAAAACCCGGCCTGACCCTGCTGCCATTCCAATCTCGAAGACAACCAATGTTCTAGAGGACATTTTTATTTTGTTGATACTACCAAAATCAGCAAAATTCTCATTTATTCAACATTATGGAGGACAACGTTTTGAACACAATCACATGGTTTAAAAAGAAGGTTAACATCTCCACATCATAGGCCATATTCCTATACTTATAAAATACAACATATATTTCATATATGTGACAGAATATATTATATATACTATTAATATATTAATTGTATTTTCACATATTATATAGTTTTTAATATATTGTATATAACTTTTAACATGTTACATCGCATTTTCAACGTATTGCATATTATTGTTAGCATATAATAAATAATTGGGCATACTTTCAAAATTGAATGGTGATAAATGAATTACTTATATACATGTCTAAGCCTCACTGAAATGTTAACAATGTGCTAAGACCAAGAAATGAACCACAAATAGAACAATGGTTGTGGTTATATGTAATTTAGAATACAACTACAACCATACATAACAGAACACATATGACAATAAGAGTGGAGTCAGGATTTTTGTTAAGGCTACATTTGGAAGGAATGCAAATACAATTATGTAAAGTATAAGACCTTGTATTTTGTATTATTTTATATGGTCTACTAGAAAGTCTAACCGTCTAAGGAATGGTGGTGGTGAAATAGAGGAGAGAGAAGGAAGAGAGGGAAGAGGTGGAGAGAGAAGAAGTGGGTTTCCTTCTCTTTTATGGTCACAAAATGCATCCTAGATTCTATGGAATGAAAGGTCCCTTAAAATAGGTATGAAATCCTAAGATTTTGGGTGAAGTAGATTTTAAAAATTTCTTTACATTTTCCATTTTACCCTTATCCTGGAATGTTCCCTTATTTATTTATTAATGCCCATGTTTAATTAGCATTCTAGAATATTCAAAACTTGAACCCTTAATTAGTTGGTCTAAAATGAATTGGTCTGACCTGGGTTTGACCCGAGTTTGGTCAGGTCCACGTACTCATATAAGGCCACCCTCTTACCAGTGAGTCAAAAGTATTAACATAATATATAGATGGGAACAAAATATAAGGTTGGATATAAAATGGGGAGTGTGGGGATTTTTAAGACATGTCTCCCCTCTGCCCCTGTATGATAATTTTGCGTATTGGTAGCCCAATTTTGTGTATCAGTTGCTCACCGATACGATACATATCAACAATACGGTTTTGATCCTTGGTTAGGAATAGGGTTTCGATCGACTGATCTCAAATGTAAAAGAGGAACAGGGAAAATTTTCATTTATTTATCTATTTACCTTCAACAATACAATATATCAAGATAAATTAGAGAGCAACTTAAACATATTTTTAGGCAAGGTTCAAAGCATGGTTTTTAAAACCGGACTGAATCAGATGGTTGGACCGGAAAAACTGAGAACCGGTCAGCCATTTTACCTCAGAATCATTATTTCTCCAAAAACTGTTGATTTGATCAGCAAATCGTTGACGCAGATGTTCGAACTGTCCAACGGTTTGGTGGTTTTTTATTTTTTTGTTAGAATGGGCCGTTCATTCAATTCGAACAGTTAGACCATTCGACCTAGAAACCAGACCCCTGGCAGGTCTGTGGTCCAATTCAATTTAAAAAACCTTGGTTCAAAGTATCTGGTGTTTCCATTATGCTCTTTTTTTTTTTTTTTGTTCTAGCTTTCTTTTCAAAATTTTATAGGGGGTTGTATTAAGCAAGGTCTATCCTGTGAAAATAACAAAAATACAAAATACCCGATATTTAGCATATGTAATATGATACTACATTGTGATTTTTGAACCCTATTTTTAGAGGTAATTTTAATAAACTCATAAACCTATTATTTATACATATATACGTTTACAGAGTATCCAAATCTGATCCGATTATTGATTGGACTCACACCATTCGAATGTGACCCATTTATATAAATGTCCCATCCAATTCTGAGATAATTGAATCCAACTTCCGACCAGGTCATATCCTTTTAAGTACCATTCACAAGCCTAATTTAGGCCCTTTGAATTAGTCATTTTTCTCTCCCACAAAATGTTCACAGTCTAGTTTGGTCTTGTTTAGAGAAAATCTCATATCAAATTAAAAAATTATGATGTAAGAAATTCTCAGACCAAATCAAATGTTTTAGTATAGAAACCAAATTAGACCAAACTGTTTTATTAGTCTAATCTGGTTTCTAATGCGGTTTTAGCCATTCCATTAGATTTAAGCCAATTAGAAAGCCCACATGGTATACAACTTAGAGGGAAGTTAATTAGGTTTTGTTTTATTTATTTTTTTGACTGGAGATTATATTTGTTTAATTGTTTTGTTTGATTAGGTGTTTAAAGGTTAATGAAGATGTTTCAAATTTTATTAGCTTTCACTCCCCCAAAACCAAACGCAGCCTAATAGATTGCGGTAGGGTAAACTCGTAAGAAAATTGTCTCAAGGTCTCAAGTCACAATAATTTAACTGACATAGAAAAAGTAATTTTTAAGCCTATGTTTGGTTTGAAGGAAAAGGTAGGGAAACCAATACAAGGATTGTAAAGGTTTTCCTACTTTTCCCTTTCTTTCCCTACATTTTTCCTTCAAACCAAACATAGCCTAAATGATAAAAATGACCCTGACTGACTTTACATTTCAATATAACAAAAATACCCCTAATACATGCTGATCATTTTTTCTCCCACCTCCAATTTGTTGATCAATTAACTCAAAATTTGTTTTTTACTTATTTTCAAAATTTATGCATAAAAAAGGAAAGCATGTTCTCTACAACGTAACAATATCTTGTACCAAAATCTAAGAGGGCGTTCTTTTTTCAGATTTTCAGAGGGGAGAAAGTTGGTCAATGGGATTTTGGTTTCTATTGACCAAGAATTCCGTATTCTTTTTTCAAATTTATGCGGGGATTAGGGAAAGTTTATTTTCCTGAGTATCACTTAGTAAGTGATACCCATTTCCTAGGTGGGTAAATAACTTTCCCACCTAGAGAGAGTTGCCAACACTTGAATGGGACAAAAATGTCCTTTTTAATAATGGATTTTTATGGCCAAAATGATTATTATCTTATTTATATGAGAAATAAAAGAATATGGATAAATGCACTTACACCGATAAGTATTTTCCAAGAAAAACTTACCCAAATAACTGTATTTACCTGCATAAATAACTTACTAAAAAACGAACAAGAACTAAATATTGAACTAATTACAAAGATCTATATTAATAAGAACCGTCCATATATGTACCCCCATGCTCATGTATTTTTTTTTTAGAAAATAAACGAAGGGTAGAATAATGAGTCATTGGAGGTATCCAAAAGTTGGGGAAGTTTTTACCATTAATGTCTCAGTGAAGTCAACAGAGTTTTTAGATAAATTCCATTTATCTAATATATATATAGTAGTAAATAAAGCATTACACATCCTGATCCTTTTGGGAAAACAAGAAAAAATATTATTAGGTTAGAAGAATAGAAGCGGTGGGGAATGGAATGGAAGGTTTCATTCCTCTGGCTCTTGACTACATATGATTGAATATTGATAATAATAAAATCTTCAAATTAAAACTGATTATCATATAGCCCCATTTGACAGCTGTGCTTATTTTCTTCATTCTTATGGGGCGATTTCCTGGACAAGTACCCCGATTCAACGGACATTTCCTATCTCACCGTAACCTATGCACCTCAAATTTCTTCTCTTTCTATTTTATTATTTTTCTTTCTTTCTGTTCCTCGTCCTCGGTATTAAGTTCATCGCATCATCTCTCTCTCTCTCTCTCTTAAAGGCTAAAGCCACTTCGTACGCTACAAGCGAAGGAATTGGCTACCTTGCTGTTTGTATTCCTGGGTCGTCTTTCTTCTGCGTTGCGTTGCGTTGCTGAGAAGAACGATTTCCTTATCCAGAGGTCTGTGTTTGTTATTCATCTCCATTTTACTCAAATTTTCTTGCTTTTTGGTATTACTGAACTTGATTTAGTAAGGGACAGGGATGAGAGTATGACGATATTAAATGGTGTACTTTTTTAAGGATACTAGCAGAGTTATATATCTTCTTCTTCATCTTATTCGTCATTGGAGCTTAGGAATTTATCCTGTTAGCTCCTTTTCAGTTTTCTCAGCAAAATATAATGGCTCTTTTTCTTTTTGGCTTCTTCTTGACTCTGTTTTCATAACGAAATGAATCTGAAAACGAGAGCAATGGAATGCAGGGATCTTAATGAAGGTTCTACTAAATGATTTATTGGGATTCATTCCTCCTTTTCCTTTAGACGACTTTTCTTTTTTCCGTAAGGAGGGAATGTGCTTTTCTTTTTTACTCTTGTGGAAATGGTTTCCAGAACCGGAAGTCTCATTATCAGAGATGGTTCCTGAAGTTTCTGAACTTCGACTGGCATTATTACTTCATAGGGTCTGTACAAAAAACCAGAAGGTTTTGTGGCGAAAAAAATTTAAGTTAACCGAGAAGAAGAACATCTTTTGTTTTCATCTTGACCGGTGTTGATTTTCCTAGATCAGATCAGGTGTTGATTTTACTCAAGAAATTAATAGATAAAACACGATAAGAAAGGAAGATAACTGAGGAAAGATTAGGAGGTGAGCATTCAGTTACAGTTCTTTCTGGGGTCTTCTTCTGCTTCTTCTACTTCTTTTTCTTCACAAACATTACCAGGCCAGATAGCGTGATACGTAGCCCTACTTAAATAGTTTACAAAAGCTTCCTGTTTTATTTAGTTTGTTTCAGATGTGTAACAGTACTGTATTCTTCACTCTCCTGTAATGTTCAGGGTAGCTGAAAGACAAGATAAGATGAGGATGATGCCAGCAAATGGACAAGTATCGGTTCCCCCAGGTTTCCGATTTCATCCAACGGATGAGGAACTTCTCTACTATTATCTGAGGAAGAAGGTTGCATACGAGGTCATAGACCTCGATGTTATCAAGGATGTCGATCTTAACAAGCTTGAACCCTGGGACCTCAAAGGTAATAGACAACTTCACTACTTCTTCCTTCTTCTTTACATTTAGGCTTGATAGCTATCTAAGCCCCTCAATCTATGATCTTTAGAGTGGAAACTAAATGTCTCTTAATGTTTCCTTGGTTCATTTTGCTAATATTTGAGCAATCTAAGTTACTAACAGTCTACGTTAAAGGAGCGAATATCTGAAAGAATCTGAAACTTCACATGACAACATGGGTTATGTGGCCTTCTTTTCCATCTGTCGATGGTTCTGCACCCCTTTTAAACGATTCAAAGAAAGTGAGACCCATTCTTTAAGTTTAGGATAACGTGGTTCCATGGGAAGAACGTACTTTTGTATGTTTGGTGAGACCCACTAAGCTCACCATTCCCAGCTTATATGTATACTGTAATTAATATTTGGCCTCATTACATACCACCAAAAGCAAGCTCAAATTTTGTTTGGCAGTGTTTTTAAAAGCAGTACTCTTACCAAGAGCTTATAAATGATTTTTGTTTCAAAATCCAAACAGCTTTTGGTAGTAGTTTATCCACATTAAGAGTACCTCCTTCAATTCCTAGAAGCAGCAAAACCCAAAACCGGTGCGGTGATAACAAATGGAACTCAACTTTATTTATTAATTTGCATGTTTGGTGGTATCCAGAAAAATGCAGAATTGGATCGGGCCCTCAGAATGAGTGGTATTTCTTCAGCCACAAGGACAAAAAATATCCAACCGGAACTCGAACAAATCGGGCCACTACAGCTGGATTTTGGAAGGCCACCGGCAGGGACAAGGCCATTCACCTCAGCAATTCCAAGAGAATCGGTATGAGGAAGACCCTTGTTTTTTACACTGGACGAGCCCCTCATGGCCAAAAGACAGACTGGATCATGCATGAGTATCGCCTTGACGACGAGAATACAGAACTCCAGCAGGTATATATATATATATATAAATATCCATCCAGCCTTAATTTCTTCATGAATCATAATCCAAATTAAATCATATCGTCGTCGTCTCCTCTATGCCAGTGTTCTAGAAAATTAATTATTGCATACAGAGAAACACTGTAGGTTCTTCATTAAGTAGTGTTATTAGATTAATTACTTAATTTCTTTCTCCCATCTATCGGTTTAGCAGGAAGATGGGTGGGTTGTTTGTAGGGTATTCAAGAAGAAGAACCATCACAGAGGCTTCCAACCAGAAGCTACTCGGGAAGAAGAAAATTTCAATTACTTCAAGGCAAGTGGGTCTCTTCCATTGGATCCAAAACAAAATTTTCTAACCCAGTATGATTTTACCTTCGATGGCTCCATGCATCTTCCACAGTTGATGAGCCCAGAGTCAGCTGTTGCTCCATCTTTCTTTCCGCCTATTACGTTCAACACCACGGACATTGAGTGCTCTCACAACCTTATGAAGTTAACATCCAGCGGAGGTGGACTGCTTCAGCATGATCAGAGGATTAATGGAGATTGGTCTTTCTTGGACAAACTTCTGGCATCCCACTCCCATCAAAGTCTAGATCAGCTCTACCAGCAGAACAAATGCAGTTCTTCTTCGCAAGTTTTTGATGTGGGTACTTCGAGTCAGAAATTTCCATTCCAGTATCTTGGTTGTGAAACGGACATTCTGAAATTTTCCAAGTGAAATTGCTGGACGTCTATGTTTGACTAGATTTGCAATTCCCTATTAATCTAGAACTGTGGGTTTCAGTGTTAAATGTATATATATACTCGTCTCACGCACTATTAAGGGACATGATTGTTCTCTATATGGCTTTTGGTTGGACGCAGTTTGTTTGCTTTTTGCTGGTTGTTTTTTTTTTTTCCTTTTCCGTTTATCACCCTTCTTCATTTTCAATTTTAGGATATTTTTTGGTCTTCCCAAATCATCATATTATTTACCAGATGAATTTCATGTATCTAATTCTATCTTAAGAGAGTAGGCATTATTTGATCCATTTTGGTCCCTTTGTAAGGCTAATTGGACATTAATTCCGACTTGATGAGGATTCTAGTTTTCTTAGGATTCTTCAAGATAGTTAAAATGGGTCCATTACTCCATTATAAAAAAAAAATGGGTAGCCCCTCTCGTTTTATCAAAAAAAAAGGGTCCATTTTAACTTTTTTTTTGAGTTAAAAATGAATCTAAAGCTACTGATGCTTTTTTTTTTTTTCTCACATCAATGAAACTAAACAAGGCCCTAAAAATTGACAAGCACCGCTACTACTCATTCTATCAGTTTTACTTCCTGCAGACGAGTCTGAAATCATTAATCTTCCCATACCATAGTCCTATCTTTGGAGTTCCTTTTATATATCTAAATATTCTCTTAATTGCCTTTAGATAGATTCTTCAAGTCTATCCACTAGTTGTGAATATTTGAATTCATAATTTAATAATCATGCGGTCTTATAAATAATACTAACAAGAACTAAGAGATGATTCAGCTGAATAAATCCATAACAAATAAAAGAAATGTTATTTTGTTTTCATAAAAGGATATATACAATATGTTAGTTGGAGCTAAGGGCATACACTATCTAACAATAATGTCCATGTGTCTGTTTGGCTTACAGATATTATCCAAAATTCACCCTAACTTACTCGCCATCTCTATTAAAGTCACCACCATGACTTTTAAAAGCCTCAAGAACCCCTTATCAATGAATTTTATTATCTAAAATTTATCTTCCACTAGATTTCCGCCATTAAAGATTGCTTAATAGATAGATGTTGTTCACATAACCAAACCACCCTAAATGGTCACCAGGACTTTTCAAAACCTCAAGATCCCATGATCAATGAATTTAATTGTCTAAAATTCATTTTCCATTAGGTTTATGTTAGATCGCTATTAAGGATTACTTAATAGATGTTGTTTACATGGTATAAGCATTTAAGTATTTTACATGACCAAACCATCCTAAATGGCCAATCAAATTTATCAAATATTTTTATGACAAAATTACCCTTGACAAGAGCTTGGGCCCACACTAGGCCTACAAATTTTAAGGTTGACTTGGGCCTAATACTTCAAGCCTAGCTTGGGCCCAGCCCAACCCACTTATATTTAAAAAATATATTTTATATATATGTATACGTGTTCTTTTATGTTAAATGATATTATTATTATTATTATTATTCTAATTAGTATCTTGTACTTTGGGCCTAGTGCCACTTTGGTCCCAGAACTTTAAAATGCAACAATTCAGTATCCAAAATTTCAAAACATGACAATCCAATATCTGTTGTTAACTAGTTGTTAATCAACCGTTAAGTGGCATTTGAAAAAGACACAAATGTCCTTCGAGTGTCATCTAATTTTCTTTATCAACCATCCAAACATTGACAAAAAATTAACAGTCTCAAACGTGACCCCAACTTCCTTGAATGGAAAAGGCAAATATTTGAGACTATTAATTTTTTGTCAACATTTAGATGGTTGATAAAGAAAATTAAATAACACTTGAAGGACATTTATGTCTTTTTCAAACCACTTAATGATGGGTTAATATCTATTTAACGACAGGTACTGGATTGTCACGTTTTAAAAGTTTGGGTACTGAATTGTTGCATTTTAAAGTTCGGAGACCTAAGTGGCACTAAACCCAAAATACCTACTTTCTTTTTTTACGCCAAATGACATGAGAATTAACTTGAGATGCTCAGTGTACAATCATTTAGGAAAGCTTGTCGCAAAAAGTCTAGAACATCGGACCAGGTAAATGTTGATGAAAGAGATAGTGCTTTTCTGGCCAAAAAGTGTGCCATAACGTTCCCGGATCTTTTAATGAACTGCACTGAACTATGGTGTATTTGGTTTAACAGAACCCTGCAATTGAACCTTGACACCCTGTATATGACGTTTCAATGGGTCAAACACTCAAAACTAATTGTATACTATGCATCAACACAATGCAGTATTTTGGGCGTTGCCTATTGTAAAGGTGAATGGTGAATGAACATCCCCAGATTATCTACTTGTTTTAATATGGATATTGTATAAGTCTGTAAATGGACTCTGAAACTCAAACCAAAGTTGGCATCTACCTGCTGCTGATTACCTCAGATTTGGATGTTAGAACTGACATCCAATTGATTATTGGATTTGATGCGCGTCTACCTTCTTCAGTTCCAATTAAATTTCGAGTTTAATTCAAATTAAGGGTTAATTATTTAAATATATCCTATGATTTCAAAACTACATAGACCATGTACTTTTCACTAACTACTTAAATATACCCTGTTAAAACACTTAAGCAAACGTCAAGATCAATGAAAAAATTAAAAGAGAAAAACACTCTTAATTGTTCTTTAAATTTTCAAAACATGCACTTGAGTGTGAATAAATAAAATGAAGTTGATTCTTTTTCCTGACCTTTGGTTTAGTCCCCACTATTGATGCAAAGGACATTTCTTTCGATACATGGCAAAGTGTTTCCATTTGATAGATAATCAGGATTTTCACGAGAATCATCCTTCCCAAACTGCAACTTGGCCTCCCACCAATCCCCCCAAAACAACATTCCAGTTCTATTTATGATTCACATGTATAGTCGTTTAACGGGTCAGAGTGGTAAATATCAACAATAATCTCCCTGATCATAGAACCTTCCCCATCCCCAGAAAAAAAGAAGAAGAAAAAACACTAACTAACAAAAAGAAGAAGACACCATGATCACCATGAGCTACCTCCCCAAAAGCCAATACAAAGCCATCCACTTCCTCTGCACTCTCTGTCACTTCTGCTGATTTCCAAGCTGCTCTTTCTTCTTTGACTCCATCTGCTATCTGTCCCATATATTCTGAAATGAAGGGTTGGGTTTACGGAGAATATGGAAGCATTGATGTTTTGAAATTTGATCCAAATCAAATCAACCAATTTTCCTCCACTTATGGTTCCAGGGTGTTGCTGGTACGGTGGTAAAGGTTGAAAGCCTTGGCGTGTCTTTCCATGCAAGCTGTCCGTTGTTTAAAAGTCTGACAGCTTGCGTTTTTCGTCTTTTCTCATTTAGTTGAGAGAAGATTTAGCTGTCGAAAGATTGCATCCCAAAAAGACACGAGAAGCTTGATTTGAATTTATTTCAGAAAGCTAGAAATGGAGCCTCTCACCTTGTTTTTGTTTCGTCTTCACATGGAAAGACGTATAAAAAGATGTGCCTCCAACCAAATGGTATGTGAACTGCTAAGATTTTTATGTAAAAGCCCATTACGTCTTTTGGCTGTCAGATCTTCCAGAAGAAGATCTTTCAAAAACGATTTGCCAAATAGCACCCAAGTTAAGAACCTGACACTGTTTCTGGTAAGAGTACAAACACTCAACCAATGTAAATATGTAGCTCAGTTCAGTTGTGTGTAATTTTTGCATAAAAATTCAGCAGGTTTTTTTTTTTTTGCACTTTTTGGCAGTTTTACCCCAAAACTGAGAGCATGGTTTGTATCATGGTTTTTAAAAACGAACCAGTGACCGAACCGGTCAGAGGTCCGGTTACCAGTTCAAACGGTCCAACCATTCGACCCGAATGGTCAGCCCGTTCTGACAAAAAAATAAAAAATTAAAAAAAATAAATTAAAATTTGGAAAACGGTTCGAGCGGTTAACCGGCCAGTTCAGCGGTTTGCTGACCAAAATCAATGGTTTTTCGGTTTTGGGGGAAAATGGAACCGGTCAGGTGACCGGTTCCCAGTTTTTCTGGTCCGACCGTCCGGTCCAGTCCGGTTTTGAAAACAGTGGTTTGTATCCAAAAATTAGGCAGACTACGGTTCATCCTTCTATGATGTAAACAAATCAAATAGAACCCATACAGCTCACACCTTGTCATTGCTTTTGAACCCTCGCCATTCTCAGCAGTAAGATCCCACCTTCCCGATCTAACCATGGACCATGGCAATATGGAAGATCTCCGTGGTTTCCGGTAGCACCATCTTAGGTCAGGTTGCATTTTGTTTATGTACCAGTGTTTGAACAAAACCTATTTACCACGAAGGACAGGGGTTTTCTTATTTTAGTAAGGTAGCGAAAAGGTGGGAGGAGCTTCTGACTTATGGTTTCCTGCCTTAATATTGGAAGACAAGAAATATTGCTACCATCTCCACCCAAACCATAGCTAATTACGATTATCCTCCCTCAAACAGATTGCCACTGCTCCAATCTCTTAGGGCAGCGCACTCATGGAAAGTAGATCACAGTCACTGCAATCTTGAACCACGAGAATCACGTCTAAACAAATTATTTGAATTTTAGACGTTTCCTGAAGCCTAAACTCCTCCATCTATATCTAGTGGCAACAACATTAAATTAACACTTTAAGGCTTGGATATAAGAGATAAGAAATACCCAACCCAACCTTCAAAGTTCAAATCCTTCGGTACTGTTGCCTTGTTGCTCTCTTCGGACTATGAAAAAACATTTGTAAGGACTGCCATGGTTAATCTAGACCTAGCGGAGTTGGGCAGCCTTTGGTACCCTCTCTGCAATCTTTGCTTGAGGAAGGGTCTTGAGGCTGCATATAGGACATCTTGAAAGAACAAGGTTTTCTATATATATATACACAATATAAAAATTAGGATATAACCAAGGATCAAAATTTCATCCCGATAAAAATTAGGATATAACCAAGGAAGGGTGTTTCGGGTCGGCAAGTGGTTCAGAGGGTAGACCGGCCTTGAACCATCTCCTCTGAACCAGTTTCAAAGAAAAAAAAAAAACACAAAAATAATACCGATACAGGCTGTGGACATTTTGAACCTTGGATACAACAGGGCAAAGATCACCCTAACCGAACAACCAAATTTCAAGTAAACCGAACCCAGAATCACGACTGGATAATGATTTCCAAAGGTTGAAAACACTGCCACTGGTGACAGAAACCAAGTCTCTATATCATAGTTGGGCTTAGTTTCAAGAGTTGATGGATATTTTCTAGGGCAAAACCAAGATTATGATAAAATGTAGGGAGATTCGGATCCAAAGTTTTTTGGATAAATGTGTATGTAGCTGTTCATCATTTACCCCCCAAAAAAAAAAGAAAAAAATAAGGAAATATAGATATCTCACAAGTCATTGTTCTTAAAACGCCTGTTTGTTAGATAGCTAGGACAGAAATTCACTTGCAATTTTTACATAATACAATAACAAATGACACAAGTCACAACTATGCATAATAATTTAAGCTTGCTTTCTTCTTAGCTTGTACCTGAATAATTCCCTCATTGAAGTCTTCGTGGGTCACCTAGATCATAACAAGACACCATCTTAGATCCACAGACGTTAAAATGTTTCCACATAACCCAAAAATAGCAATAATTGAAAATCAGTTGATGGAAGCAACGAAAGCAAAGATGATGACACGGATAATGGTGATATTAATTGGTTATGATGGTTTGTCTCAATCTGTGATGACATCTTAGCACCTAGCTTTGTCTCTTCCCGCTTATTTTTAATGAATTTTCTTTGTCTAGAAAGATCTTTTATCTAATATTGGTCTCGGCTATATCGGGGTCAGAGACGGGTGCAGTCCTAAACTTTGGCATTTAACCTTTTGCACAAAGTAGCTGCTTCCAAAGACTCAAACCCACATTCTCACACTTGTTAGATAGAGATTTTTCCATTTCACCAAATAATAAATTCTTTTCCTACAAAATAAAATTATTGTCTTATGAAATAATAGACATGAGCAAGGAAGGCACCACTACATTCCAATTCGACAGGAAATTCTAGATTGTCAATCAAGGTAACATTGCAAGGCATAGAGCTTTGTACATCCGGACCACCAGTCAGGTACAACAACGGAAGTAGGTTGTAGACCAACTCAATGGATCCCAAATGATAACACTAATACTTCAAACGGGTGATTAAGGTTGATTAGAAATTAAGAGACAACTGATGATAACAATGGCATACATCAATTAAAGATAAATAGCATTTTCTTTTTATGAATATGAAAAATAAATAACATTATATTAACATTGCTTGTGGGTTGTTATTTTAGGCTTGTTTCCTTAGAGATCAGAGGCAAAGTTCAGTGGCAGAATAAATTCAAAATGGTGCACATAGAAATCCAATAGTTATCCGTTTATACCTCGAAGCAATTGAAATAGAAAACAGAAAGTGGAATAGGAAACAAACCTCTGTTGCATCTCGGCGGAGAGCAAGCATGCCAGCCTCTACACACACTGCTTTTAGTTGTGCCCCATTGAAGTCGTCTGTTGAACGAGCAAGCTCCTCAAAGTTCACATCTGGACGCACATTCATTTTTCTCGAGTGGATCTGTAATTCCAATCAAAAGGAAAATAACTAAATAACAACTAAAAGAAAGTATGTAGATCTGTAATTATTATCAAGAGCTAATAATTAGCCCAACCTGCATTATTCTGGCCCTCGCTTCTTCAGATGGATGAGGCAACTCAATTTTACGATCCAATCGACCGGAACGCATAAGAGCAGGATCAAGGATATCAGCTCGATTAGTTGCTGCTATAACCTGAGCATTGCTAGCAATTATTAATCATCATAAACAGCTTCACGAAGTTATTGATATCATGAAATTTTACACATTTGTAGTAAAGGATTAAACTAGTCGGACCAGATACTGACAACTTTAAGAATGTTTTCAGAACATTCATGTTCAGGTCGATCAAAATAGTGTAGAAGAGACCTAAATATCAAACTAATCAGATTAAAGTCTTTCTTTTATCAATATCAGATTGAAGGCTTTGAACAAGGGAGGTTATTTTTGCCAGAATTCTAGGAGACTGGAACTGTCAACATTTGGCCAAAGTCAAAGATTAGACCAACATGCCCAGCATCTCTAGTCACCAAATAATAATTTTGGTTCAACTTCATGTTAATCGGGTCAGCGGTAAGTCATAATTAGCCTCAGTTATAGGAAAATAGGGTCAGTTTTGTCTTTTCCATCTGTTTCTTCAATACAAGGGTATCTTGGGGAGCACAATTGGTTGATTCGAACATCAATTAATAGAGTCCAACAGCCAGGGGTAGTTTAGGTGGTTAATATTGATGTTTTGTAGTATTTCAGGAGACTAAGAAGTTAGATAATAATGCTGTTCACAATACTGATCAGGCCCTTTTTTTTTTGATAAATCTGATCAGGCCATTGTTCACTTATTCATATTGAAACACGACACTATTCATATCATTCATATTGAATTTGTTTTATGTTACATCAATAAAGTTAAATTTTCTTTTATTCTTTTCTCTAGTTGATTGCTAGAAAAGTAGCTATTGCTATTAAGGACAGATTTATCTTTTCTCTATATTCTTATATTGATTGCCATAAGTGATTTACTCTTTTCTCTTGAAGTTGTGTGCTGGTTCTTCTTCTTCTCTTATTATTATTATTATTATTATTATTATTATTATTATTATTATTATTATTATTATTATTATTATTATTATTATTATTATTATTTTCTTCTTTTCCTATAACAAAAATAAGGGTTCAGTCCCTATATTTTTTGAATTTTATTTTCCTTCTTCCTTTTCTTCTCATGAATATGTTGATTTTCAATACTTCAACATGAAATTTATACTTTTTTTATGAAAATCATGAATAATTATTAAAGAAATATGGTTATGGTACCTAGGGAACTGCCCTAGGATCTATGTTTTCAACATAAAAATCCATTGCCTAGGCGACACCTAGGCGCGACTAGGCGACAAGGCACCCCCCAGTCACCTAGCCTCGCCTTGGCGCCTTGAAAACTATGCTCCACATCAATAGTAACAATAAAATAAACAAAAATATGATATGTATAAGAACTTCATTTCTTGAGTCAAATTACAAATGATGCACCAAGTGTTCAATGGGCATCCTCACTCCCAAAAATCATCAACCTCAGTACTATCCAGAGTCACTGAAGATCTGGTCTTGGTAAAATTACATCTTTCCCTCAAATCATCCCCATCACAGATAAATAAGGTGAATTTATAAACATTTACCATAGAATAAAATGATTTTAAAAAATTCCCTTATTCTCTCCCTCCATACCTACAGTCAACAAATAGAAACACAACACGAAACTTCCCTGAATGTCTAAGAAGGGCCAAAGGCATTCTTCCATCTTACCCTCCCAAGTAAATGCTCTTCTAATGTTAGACACCAGAACACCTCTTATCTGTGTTCAAAAGCACTGCTTATTCAAACATTTATTTGCAAGTATATAAACAATATAATCTTGGACAAGTTCTGAAAGAATTTCACTCAAACCAAGTATCTTCTTGACTTTTTCCTGTAATCCCATCCTAATATAAACAATATAATCTTGGACAAAGTCTGCAAGAATTTCTCATCACAAACTCCTTGAAGACCCAGGACATAGGATGTTAACACCATGAGAATGAGTTCTCTCTCTCCTAGCACGTGGCTTGCCTCAATCCAAACGTGCAACTCATAAGAGAATATCAAGATAAATCTTAAGAGATACAATTGGAAAGTGTATCTTGGTAAAATGGCAAAATAGGTGATAAAGCCCAACCAACCAACAAAAGGACAAAAAATTGAAAAACTGGTTAGAGAGATTTCCTCTCGAATCACAATAAATTAGACAGATGCGCTCAAATCGAATAGAGAGATTCTCTCAAATCAGCTTAGTGGTACTCATTTAAATGGTTGTAATAGCACCCAAATTGTTGTCAATTGAAGAAGCAAAATCATGGTTGGATGAATTACCTTTTGTGTGATCTCAATCCCTTGCCAAGTGGCATTTGGTCTCAACCACAACTCTTAGGAATTGAACCCACCTTTAAGGAGAGGACCACTTGGAAAAAAAATATTGGGATAAAAAAGAAAAAAAAAAACCAGTCACTGAATTGCCAATTCGGTGGGCCCCATGTCAATCACCATGATTAAATAAAAGGAAATTATGGTTGCCCAAACATGGCTCCTTGCATTTGAATTCAAATCATTTAACTAGGTTCATCTAACAATGAAACTCTAAAAATAGAGGAGAAAACAATTACATTAGATGTTGCTCATGCTGGAACCTGTGGGGCTCATCAGTCTAGGCCTAAACTCCATGATCTGATATATAAGAATGGGATATTATTGGCCAACAATGGTAAATGACTCAAGGGAATATCTGCCAAGCATGTCAATTTCATGGAGACTTCATTCAACAACCTCTAGAGTCTCTGCACCCAATGGTTGCTTCATGGCCCTTTGATGCTTGGGAATTAGATGTTATTGGTCCACTCCAAAAGTCTCCAAGGGATATCTTTACATCCTTTCTGCCACTGACTATGTGGATTGAATCTATAGCACTCAAAGAAGTCAAGAAAGAGATAATCATGGAGTTCATTAGAAATTACATTATCTATCACTATGGCATCCCAAGTTATATTGTGACTGACAATGGGAATCCATTTAGCAACCATTTAATGAAACAATTTTGCGAGAACGACAAGTATTAAACAAAGGTGCTCCAATATGTACAATGTGGCTGCAAATGACTTGGTTGAGGCCTTTAATAAACCCTTATGCAAAATTGTTGGAGACAGTAATCTCTAAAAGTAAAAGATGTTGGCATGAATGTATGGGCGAAGCAATGTGAGCCAATAATACTTCCTACCGTACAGCTACACAAGCAACCACTTGTTGATTTATGGGGTCGAGATGGTGCTTCCACTTGAAGTACAAATTTTGCCACTACACATGGCAATCCAAGAAGGGCTTATAGACAATGAGAATGCAAGGCTTAGGCTCACAAAGCTCAATGGCCTCGACGAGAAAAGGTTAGAAGCACTACAATGCTTAGAGTGCTACCAAGCCCGAATGGCTCAAGCCTTTAATAAAAATGAGTAGGCCGATCATTCTATCACATCGCTCTGGGAAAAAGTTTGACCCCAAGTGGGATGGCTCACATAAGGTGCAAGAAGTCTACAACAATGGTGCTTACTCATTACTCTTGATGGACTATGTCTTGAATCCATTAATGAGAAATACTTGAAAAGGTATTATCCATGAAAATTTATGGCATTGCTCTCAAATATGAACCTAAACTATCTACCAACACTCTTATACAAGAGCTTAAACTACTTAGCATTGCTCCATGTGCCTATCTCTACTTGGCAGCTACCAATAACTGTCTGTGGAACCACCTTCTCTGGAACTGCAACTCTTTCACCTACAAAGCAGGTTAATGAAGAAACATACATCAAATAGATATAACCAAGTAATAATTTATAGAAAAAAAGGCGGTGTGTCCCTCTTGAAGGTAAATAATGTGATCCCTTAGGTTTAGTGACCAACATCTTCCTCCTCGCAACTTTTATTGGGGTTGTTGTTGATGAAATCTTATTCAACTAGTAGCTTGTGGAGACAGAGTCATCCTCATGGCTGCCTTGTCATTGGCACTTAAAGAATTTAGGTGACTACTTCGTCTTCTGATTCAACATGGTCATCTTTATCACGAGCATTTCTCATGACAAGATTGTCCTCTTGGACACCAGTGATCAACACGGTAAAAGCTTGTCTCATTACTAGTACAAACTTTGATGTTGAATTGTTGTAGAATCAACAAAACCTCAATATACCACCAACCTAAATAGGTGGTCGTAGTTGAACGTTGGGAGACCTCCAACCTTAGACTCGATGTCCTTTTTCAAGAGAGACCTCCAATGATAATAGGCTCTAACTTCATTAGGCTCGACTTGATGTCAGTTGGGAGATCAAATGTTGTCTGGTAGAAACCAAATTGGCAAGCAAACCGATGTGGACTATACAAGTTAGATTCTACCATGGAATTTGTCTTCCATGATAAGATGCTTGGACGCATGCTAATAACAAAACTCCAATTCTTTGAGAGAGAGAGATTTATGTCACACCTCTCCCTACCATCTGCAAATGAAGGTATGGTGACATCCAATTGCCGGTGAAAATCCCAACAAGTCCTAACCTTATGACAATCTTCTTTACCAAAGTGTTCTAGACACATATATGCCTTGCCAGTACTGCAAAGGCCAATCATAAGAACAAATTGCTAGGAGTCAAACCTACAACAAACTTTATTAAAATGCAAGCCAACCCATGCATATAAGAAATGTGCTGGAAAACACATTGACCTGATCACTAACAAGAAAGATAGGTTAATGAGAGGCCATAGTAAATGGAAGCGTATGGGTGGGGCAAGACTATAATGAACGACTTGGGCCATCTTTAAAGCTGCTTTAAATACCGTGGGCATGACCAAATTCTTGATACATGAAGGAAGGAGAAAATGGCATATCCACAATGATAAATACGCAAACAGAAATGTTTATCTTTCTATATAGGATCACACTCGAAGTCTAAGCGTTCAAAGGGTGTCTTCTCATTCTTCGTTCTACACAAATGGCTACAATCTTCTGGATCACTCAATAGTAAGGGAAGCCTTGACCGATCCTAGCTATGTCATGAACCCAAAAGGTGATTCAACTTTTGACAACAAGGGGGGGGGGGGGTGTTCAGGAACCCTTTCCAAGTCC